TTGCCGATCTATTCTGACCGCGCCCCTGGGATTCCTTTTTCACTGGATGCGTTGCATAGAGCCATTGCTGGCCTGAATCCTCACAAATCCGTGGCACAGCCTTTCCTGCCGGCCATCATTTGGAAAAGTGCCCCTGCCCAAGTTGCGACAGAACTGTACCGGCAATTGCAAACTTGGTGGAGTTACAGCCCCCCCATGATCCCACAGTCATGGAAGGACTCCTGGATATATTTTATCCCCAAACCGGGTAAGCCCAATACACACCCATCCCAGATGAGACCCATTTCACTCATGGAACCATTAGGGAAATTAGTATTAGGCTTAATTGCCAATCGCATCAAAATCTTCTTGGGCCCCATACTGATTTGTTCCCCTCATTTTGGATTCATGCCGCACCGTGCCACCTTGGATGCAATTCAAAGAGTTGCCAATCACAGCCGTGCCATCAGGGCATTAGTGGGCTCCCAGAGCAGATCCGTTGTCCAACAGATGACACAGGTCCCAAAACTGGTCATCTGTGGAGGGTTATCCTTGTTTTTGGACATGTCTAGGGCTTTCGATTGTGCCAATCGTCAGGTGTTGTTTGACCACCTTCATGACCTGGGAACCCCATTGGATCTCCTTCAATTGGTTGCCAGTTGGCATGAACAGACTCATTACATTGTCCAATTCCATAACACCAGTTCCAAGGTCAAGGTAGGAAAGGGATTGAGACAAGGATGTAAAATTGCTCCTCAGTTGTGGATTGTCTATATGGACAAGTTTCTGCGCCTTTTGGAACCCCTCACTGGATCACAGTGGATCACCAACTGCATAACCATTTACGCAGACGATGTGCACGTGGGTTGCCAGTTTTCTTCAGGTCATGAATTCAATGTTCATCTCCGCAATTTGGGATTCGTTTTGGACACATTGGAACGCCTGGAACTCCAACTCTCCTATCAAAAATCCTTTGTACTATTGAAATATGCAGGCACAAATCCACGTCCAGTCCTGAAAGGACGCATCCGACGGCAGGGCCCTGACCATTTCCTGCTTGTACAAAGACAACATGGCCAGACATCCGCACTGCCTCTGCGCAAGAAAGGCAGCTACCTTGGCGCAATCATCAGCTATTCAGCCTTTGAATTTCAGTCCTGGCAGCATCGGAAACGCACAGCATGGTTTGCATTCAACCGTCTCTGCAAATGGCTCAGGCATCGCCACATTGCAGTTCAGCAAAGATTGTATTTGTGGAAACAATGTGTGTTTACGGTACTGACATACAGTTTGATGGCGACCAATGTCACAGTCCACATACTGCATGATTTTCAGACTGTTGTTTTCCGTATGATCAGGACCATTTTAGGGGACCACCCCTACAGAACGCACCGTACACATCAACAGGTCTTTCTTCAATTTCAATTGGATCATCCACTTGACATGCTGACTGCCCTTGCCACGGCCCTGCAGCAGCGGCTCCATAGGCGTGCCATTGACCTTCCACCCAGTGATTTTTTGCACCATATAGATTGGACATCCCTCCACGGCACATTGCAGCTGATTGCATGCATCCGAGCATCCGTCGTAGAGGTAACCATCAGCCTGGACCCATCCGACACGGTGCTGACACAGGTAACACTGACCTGTGATTACTGCAGTTTTACCACCACATCCGTTCCCAATCTTAGAAGACATTGCACCACTCACCATGGCGTCAGGTTTTTCCGTACTGCCAGCACCCAACCGGCGACAGTGGCACTGCAAGGTGCCCCACAATGCAGCCGTTGTTTTCAGGTTTTTACCACATGGAATAATTTCTTTGTGCACGTCCAACGGAACTGTTGCCAGGTGCCCTCAGAGTCATCAGACCGGCACTTTGCATCCAGGACAATGGAACCCACGGCAGGATCATCGGTTTCACCAACAGCTCTGCCGGAGGCTGCCCTGATGAATTTTCATGTCATGACCCAGCTTTTCTGGCCGGAACTTCAGACCACGATTTTGCATGCTGACTGGACACAAATGCCGCGCAATGCAGCCATGTTGGAATATCTGACACATCACTGTACCATTTGCGGGTTGTGGTGCAATCGTTTCCAAGAACTACATGGACATTTTCGACAACACCATCCTGCTCAGGTGTTAGGCAGTGTTGCCAAGGGAGCCCAAATTTCCCAGATCCAACAGGTCACTTCTCCATGCAGCCTGTGCCAACGCACATACAGTCGGATTCATAGCTGTCCTGTGACCCTACAATTGGGTATGCTGATGATTCAGTTGAGACCGGCAGCCGACAGACTTGCAACGGCATGCACATGTGACATCTGTGCCCTGACGTTCCAGGATCTGTATTTGCACTCCACCATAAACCCTATGTAAACTAGCATGCACTAAAGCTGATGCGGCTCGAGTAAAAAGAGTTTGGGCCGCAGGTGCTTAACGGTATTTTCTCCCCACTGTTGTTAGGTTTATCAGTCCATTTGGGATTAGTATCATCCCCTACTGAAACCTGAAAATACAGGTTATCAGCCGTAGTCTCGTAAAGCCATGGAAAGGACAACTGGAGACACCTCAGGTGGAGGCGCCCTTGTCCCCTCGTCTGGAGCAGCGGTTGCAACAACTGGTTCACAACAAAGCTTGCCGGCTGGGACAAACCCCACGCCCATGTCAGTGGATGAAGGTTTCTTCACACAGCCCGTGCAAGCATATTTCCAGTTTGTGCAAAACAATCTTACCTACATCAACGAAGGTAACATTGATGCTTTCAGGCAAGAGACGGAGGAGAGGCACACACATCTCATGGAGCAAAAGGTCCAGCAACTGTACCAAGAGTTTGAGGGAGTTTGCCTTAGCGAAATTGCCCATCAACGTGCGGAAGCTGATCGCAGACATGAACACCTAGTGTCAGAGTATTCAGTGTCCCAAACGGCAGCTGAGCATGAGGTAGCAAAACTGAGACAGGAACTTAGCGATGCAAACGCAAAGCTAAAGAACGCTGCAAATGCAGTTGCACTGGAAGCTGAACAAAGAGCCAACCAAAAGGTAGCACACGTTACAGCCCAGTATGAACAAAGGTTTTCTGAACTCAGAGGTAGCCTCGAGGCAGACTGTAAACGAATCGTGGACGAAACAGTGGAGTATGCAAAGAATGGCATGGAAGGTTTCAAGAAGGAAGAACAAGCTGTAATCCAGGAGATTAGAGAGGAATGCAGTAGGCAGGAAAACCAAGCTGCTGAACTCAATTTCCAATTGCAGGGACAAGTGGAGGATTTGATGGAGAAGCTCAACAAGTACAGCGCCCCGGAAATCAGTGTCGACAGAGCCGTCGAAGTTGATGATGCACAAGGCGGGAACAATGTCGATTTGTACATGACCCCAAAATCAGCGGTCGGTACCAAGGCTGGAGCAGAACCCATGCCAAACACCGGTATGAGTAGCTTAGCCATGGACGCTAAAGAAAGATTGAGCAACTTGTTCTCAACTACCCCTGCCGGATCAGCAGCCCCTCCAAAACTTCCACCATTGCCAGTTCAAAGACAAAATGATGACGATGCAAACCAAGAGCATAGTGTGCCCAGTCCTACAGTCATAGCAAGCGACCCTGGCAAGAAAGCAGCTGAAGCAGGCTTAGGTCTTTCAGGTCAACAATTGCTAGATCTCATCACTAGACTGACTTCAAAGGATTCAGATGGTGAAAAGCCCCGAACAAAAGAGGCAGAGACTATCAAACTGAACGACATGCCTGCCCCAGAAGCTTATCGTCATTGGCGTAATCACGTCAGGGATGAAGTGAAATCGTGCTCCGACAAACCCGATGAGGCTTGGCTTTGGCTCGATGAAGTCTTTGACAATAAAACCCCTAGGGAAAAGTTGGAGGAAAAGCTGCAGGAACCTGGGAAGTTTATCACACTTGACACCAAATTGTCGGCAGCGTTAACTCGCTCAGCCAAAGGTGACTTAGCAACAAAGATCCATAACTTCAAAGATGAGAAGTCAAAGAAAGGGATCCAAGTCAGAGGTAGGAGAGTCCTTTTGATGTTTGAAGATTACTTCAGGACGTCTGAGGAAGCTGGCAGTCTCTACCGCGTCGAGGACCTACTTGGAGTCGTTCGCACTGGAGAATCTGTGGAGGACCTTAGAAGGTTTTTGAACCGATGGGACGCCACAATTGCCGGCATGGAAACCCCACCAGATGATTTGGTTCTCAGAGACATCTTACTCAGACAAATCCGAAAATGTCAATTGATGAAGTATGACATTGAAGCATTCGACAGAGCTCCTGAAAAGTCAGAACGAAAGTCTTATGCATTCTTGTTGAGAAACATTCGTGATCTTTTGGATAGAGAAAGACTCCGTTCAAACAGAAACAGAATCGTTGAAAAGAACAAGCAGACCGAAAAGCCTCAGCCCGCTGCACCCGCTCAGGGGGGCAAAGATCGCGGCAGAGGAAAGGGCGACCGAGGTCGAACCCGTGGCCGTAGCCAGAGCAGTAAAGGGGATAAGATATGCTACAAATTCAGGGACGGCAAATGCGAAAAGGGTAAAGATTGTCCCTACAAGCATGTCAAAGATTCCTCAAGATCTGGTACCCCCAAAAGAAAGGGTAAGGGCAAAGGTGGTAGCAGAAGTGGTTCCCCAAACAGAAAGTCGAAGGAAGAGATGGCCAAGATCCCATGCACTTACTTCCAACAGGGCAAATGTCGTCGTGGTGACAAATGTTTTTACAAACATGAAGTTGCAGCTGCACCCACAAAGGATCCAAAACGTACCAATAGCCCTGCACCAAAGAAGAAGGCCAGTGCAAAAGCTGCGCCATGCATTACTCAAAGGTATGCATGCATAGCAAAGGGAAAAGGGTTGCCAAAAGCCACAAAGGCCATGAAAGAACAATGCCATAGAGCCGTTGTATTTTCATCAAAAGTGGAATACATCAAAGTCCCAGCAACAGGTGAACAGAGGAAGGTAGTGCACAAACCCCGAATCTATGAAAAGACGTTCCCAGATTCAGAGTCAGTGCCAAAACCCGACAAACTCGTAGCTCACCGTGCTCAGGTTTCGGCCCGACAGTTGCAGGAACTTGTGAAGCTCTTTGGCAATGAGACGCAGCCCAAGTGCCGATTCCGATGCAATGACCCAGAAGGGGGAGTATCATGCAACCACTGTAGAGCAATGATCGGTCCCAAGAACAAAGTTAGTAACACTCATTTGCCCACTGTTGCTACACCGGCATCAAAAGATGGATGTGTTTGGTTGGTTGACACGGGCAGTGAACAGGATTTGATCAGTGAGGGTATGCTGAAGACTGCAAAGGCGACAAACCGCCGTATCAGCGACACTCCGATCAGCCTTGCTACAGCAAACGGTTCGACACGAGCGGATGAGGTGGCCGACGTAAAAGTCGATGCCCTACATCAGCCATTTTCACCATACATTCTTGAGGAAACTCCTGCTGTTCTTTCGGTTGGAGTCAGGTGTATGGAACAGGGTTACAGTTTTGTGTGGCCAGCTGATGGTAGGCCTTACTTCATTCGTCCGGACATGGGAGTCATTGAGCTTAACGTAGACGGCCGTGTGCCGGTCATCGATAGCTCTTGCCGTGTTTTGAACAGTGGACAGTTCAAGAAAGATTGTGATCTGTTACGTCTTTTTGCAATGGTTGCTGCAAAAGCAGAAGGTGCCGATGAAGAAGGTGTGGATGAGGGAGTAGCTCATGATAGTGAAACCGAATACATCAGGTCTAGAAAGGCATCTGACCTTGAGCAAGAGGCATGCAGTAAGTCTCACCAGTTTTGCCATTACCCCAAGAACCCATTTTGCAAGATCTGTCAGAAGGCGCGCATGATGGCGCCACCCGCAAAGAAGAAAGGGGGACAGAAAAGGTTGGAAACCAAAAGTTTTGGGGATCACATTGTCGCTGACCATACTGTAATCAAATCCAATGTGGAAGAAGGCGTCAAAGGTGAAACAGTGGCATTGGTGATGAAGGACATTCACACTCAGTTCAGACACGTCTATCCAAGCCAAACAAAGTCGAGCGAATCATGTGTTAATGCTTTCAACCACTTCTTATCTCACAAGGATGAAGTTGGGGCAGTTTACACTGACAATTCACGAGAGCTTATTGCTACAATTTCAGAATTGGGGTACAGACATCAAACATCAACCGAGTATGTGGACAGCTCAAAGTCGTTTGTGGAGAGGGAGATCAGACACATGCTTGAAGGCACACGCACAAACCTTGTGCAGTCAGGTCTTCCATTGCAGTACTGGCTAATGGCTATGCAGCATTTCTCCATGGCAGTGAATGCCACGCCACAGCTCAACGGTGATGATGCCCCATGGAAACTCAGATTCGAAGAAGATTTTCCAGGTCAGTTGATTCCTTTCGGTGCAAAGATACTGTTTTGGAACAATCCAAAAAGGGTTGACAACACATCTGGAAAGACATCACCAACAGCAAATGATGGAATCTTTTTGGGATACCATATTCAACCTGGTTTTGCATGGAAAGGTGAGTATCTTGTTGCCAAGTTAGAAGCATTGGATTACCATGCAGAAACGGGCAGCATCACAGTGCAGCGAGCACGACGTGTTGAGCTCATCGCGGGAGGTTTTGTCTTCCCACTCCGTGCATTGAAAGAGGCCAAAGAGCCCAAGCCGGACCGTCTAGTCGACAATGTCATTGCTGATCCTCGTCCGATTCCGTTTCAATCCGAATTGCAAACAGAGGAACATGTAGAAGAAAGTGAAGTAGCAATTGACAAGTCAACGGAGGCAGTGCTTGACGCACTTGCCAGTGATGAAAGGCCGGCTGAGGAACCAGTTTTTCCTGATATCAAGTACACTCCAACTGGTACTCCAATCCCGGATGGTTATCATTGGGACGGCACACGCCTTGTGAAAACGTACAAAGGGTCAAAACGCCCTGAGTCGATCCCATCGGATTTTTGGAAAATGCTTAGTCCGAAGGATAGGCAAAAGCTTGTTGAGGAGGAGGCTGAAAAGATGTCTGTAGGCAGCGGTGGTGCTGCATCAAGTTCAGCATCAAAGGGTCCGAAGAGAAGAAGGTGCAGTTGCTACTGCAAGAAAGCTTCGGGTAAACCCTAGCCCCTCAGGTGAGCCTAGTGTGTCAACATGGGAGGTCATTCCAAAGGATAGACCGAAATTTTGTGTCCCTGCGATGCCGAAGGCAGTTCCAGCAAAACCTGAACTGCATCGCCCGGAATTGAGAGAGATGATCAAGAACAAGATCGCAGAGTTGGAATTCAAAGTGGCTCTTGAATTGTTTTCTGCTGTTGCACGTTTGGTTCCCAAAGATGAGGTTAGGAAAAACCCCAAAGCAAAGGCTGCCTTAGATAAGGAGTGGGAGAACCTCAGGACAAAAGGAGTATGGGACGAATCCAGAGTCAGGGAATGTAAAAGCATTGTTGAAGAAGCCCGCAAGAAAGGGGAAACTGTACATCTTGGTCGTATTTTTGAAGCCTGCTACGAAAAGGGGTCGGAACTTCCAGCTGATGATCCTCGTAGGAAATTCAAGGGCCGTACAGTCTTCCAGGGTAACAATGTCCGTGACCAGGATTCTGACCATGCATTGTTTGCCGAGTTAGGTAGCAGTCCTGCTTCGATGGAAGCTGCAAAGCTTCTTGATGCGTTTGGTTCTCAACCTGGATTTTCAAAAGCTCAGGCAGACGCCATTCAAGCTTACATCCAGGCCCTCTTCACTGGGGTGCCCACATGGCTATCATTGCCACGGAACAGATGGCCAGAACACTGGGAAAAGCAATTCTGGCAACCCATGGTTCCTTTGGTTTTAGCTTTGTATGGGCATCCAGACAGCGGCGGTATTTGGGAAAACCACCTCAACAGCAGAATCGGAAGAGAAGGTTGGAAACAAATTCTCCCCGATATATGGCAAAGTATTTTCTATCATGCTGAGTACAATTGCATGTTGGTTGTTTACGTGGATGATTTCAAACTCGCAGGTCCCACTGAGAACATGGACAAAGCATGGGCAAGTATCAAACGAGCAGTCAACATTGGTGACCCCGAACCCTATGATCGATATTTCGGTTGTCAACATGTGGAGTTTAACAATGTTACACTACCACGAAAAGCTCATCCTTTTGCACATGTTTTTGACTCTCAGGCGGCTGCTGCGGCACGTACACAACATCGAACAAATGATTTTTGGCAACATGACCCCTTCAACAAAACTTGGACAAGGTATCATCTCCAGCCACGGAAGAAGTTATTCGAGCCTGGCGATGAGGGGGGGGAGTTTGTCAAGTCTTTACATTCAGAACGGGTTACGATGTTCGACAAAAATGTTGAATTCAAAGGTCTCCCAGTTCTCAACATGCATATGTCAGATGAAAGTTCAGCAATTGTTGAAGATGACATGACAGTGGATCAAAAGATTCAGACAAAGGACTTCTGGACAGGAAGGACAATCTTCAGGTATGGTGACGAGTATGGCAACACTAATCAGTTTGCCCTCCCATCAAAGAACAGACCCGGTCCACATAGAGACAAAAGGGAAGCCAAGAATGAGAAGAAAGCTCAACGGTTCAAAAGCATCGAGAATGTCGTTACTAACAAGTCCGGTTGCATGAACAAATCTGTAAACCTGGTAAGGTACGACATGTCTTCTTTCATGGAATCATGTGTAGATGCATACTGTGAACTGGCAAAGGTTCAGAAAGATGACTTGCCAGTGGTTGCAACACCGTTCACAGAAGCGGGAATAGCCCGGCCAACTCTCGACGAGAAGGAGAAGCCAGGGAGGTTGCAACCGATTGCGTCGAAGGTCCTGATGAAGATTCTCTTTGCGGCCCGTATGGCACGCCCAGATCTCTTAAGAGCTACTCAAAGCTTAGCATCTAGGGTGACGAAATGGTCCATTGAGTGCGACATTGCATTGCACAGGTTGGTATCATACATCAAGTCAACTACAGATGTTTTTATGGAGGGTTTTGTGGGAGACTCGTTTGAGGACTGTCAACTGTGGCTATTTGCTGACGCTGATCATGCGGGGGAACATGATTCAAAATCGACTTCAGGTTGTGCAATGTTTCTTGTGGGGCCAAATACATATTTCCCACTAAACGCATTCAGCAAGAAGCAGACAGTTGTAGCAAACTCGTCCACTGAAGCCGAAGTCGTGTCAGCAAATCACGCACTCAGAGCAGAAGGTATTCCGATGTTAGCCTTGTTGGAGCAGTTGGGCATTTTCAAGAAATTGTCGCAGAAGGCTGGGTCAAACCCCAAGCCAAACACCCTCGAACAAAATGATCCTGTTTTTACTCGTATCGACAAAGAGATCGATGAAATCAGGTATGACAATGTTGAGGGGGGCCTTTCTGCGGCAAATATCAATGGTTTGAAGGCCCATTTTCCGGAGTTCTATCAAGTGAAGTTCATGGAAGATAATCAAGCTTCTATCACTGTGATGGGTACCGGTAATTCCTCCACTATGCGCTACGCCAACAAAACTCAGAACATCTGCTTTAAATGGATGAAACAGTTGTTCGAAGAAGATCAATTCGATTTGATAAATGTTGGCACCAATTGGCAGACAGCTGACATCCTTACAAAACCTTTTACTTCCCCAACTAAATGGGAACATGCTTTGAGGTTGATGGCCATTGGAAAGACTTGCATCGACGCCGACAAGCCCAAGGTGCGCCAAGTAGACTCCAAGCCTGCGTGTCCAGCTAATGCCCATGATCAGGGGGGACGTGATGGTTCAAATTCTTTCCAAAGGATGTTGATTGAATTCTGCTGTTCATCCGATTCGAAGCTATGCACTCCACGGCAAGCCAGTAAAGGGTGTAGACTTATCCGAGTAACTTAAAACGAGGATGGCACCACCCAAGGCTGCCGTAAATGGCTAGCCCAAGAAGTCCAGTCTTTCAGGGAGAGTAATCCAGAGGGTGAGATTTTGCTTTACGCTTCCTTGCCATGTGTGGGCGGCAGTCCATGGGGTTACATCAACAGTTTGACTGACAAAGGGGCTGAACGAATCGAACAGCAACAAAAGGAATTTACAAAACTTTTCAAATCACTTCAAAAGGTTATCAGTGAAATCGATGGGCCGCATTTTTCAATCGCATTTGAACTCTCAAAGAACTGCAAGTATTGGAAATGGCCAATGGTCCAATCGTTTTTGAAGAGACAAGAGTTGAAATTGTATCCATTCCATGGTTGCCAGTTTGGGGTTATTGACTTGGACGGGAATCCCATGAAAAAGGGTTGGATGATTGCAACAAACATGGAAGAGTTGTCAAGTCTTTCGGAATATGTTTGTGATGGTTCCCACACTCATGGTCAAAGCCGGGGTACTGCATTGAAGCTTGCAGAGAACTACACATTCAAGTTGACTGACTTCATCCATGATTGTTTTCGTTCCAGAGCTAACCAGGCACAAACCGCCAAGAACAGGAAAAGGTTAGCTTTGCCCGCCATGAGCCGACGTTCTGACGATTCAAATTTGTCGATTGCTGAAAAGATGAACGTGCGGGCTCTCAAGTCGGCCGGTTTAAAGACCGTGCCCCAACAAAGCAACATGTCGGAGTGGCTTGCTTTTCGGAAGTGCCTTGATGTTCAGGGGGATAGGCACGCAGGGTGGGAGGACATCTTTTCTACGGTCCTCGCTTCATCAACCATCCTGGCGCAGGGCAACAGGACAGAGGACCTTGAGTTGGCTGCAGGATTCATGCAATGTTTCACCGCGCAGTCCATGTCAACTGACGCCCTGACGAATGTGCCATGGGCAAAGGAGATCCGCCATCTGTCCGAGCTCGAACATGACTCACTGTGGGATCTGAGCTTGCCTACTGAGTACGTCCCTGGGACATCAAGGCCGGCGGTAGACGTCGTGCCCACCATCTATGTGGTGACTTCCGATTCAACTTTGGCTCTGATCACTGGAAAGGGTAAGACTTTGAAGAAGTACACCTTGAAGGAGGATCTGGGGTTGCGAAAATCAGACATGGTTCTCGAAATCGGTCATGACATGCTCTGGGGTAAGGATTTACAACAGCCCTGCAAAGCAAATATTTCCATGATCAAGGAACTGATGGCGAAATATTCTTCTCATGGATCAGCCATCAGGGTTATTTCGGTAATTGTTTGGTCTGGGAACGAAATTTGCGGGGAATATGGTGTTGAACCCCTTCCCATTTGGGGGCAGAGGGAACCACAGGGTGACTGGAATGCCATCATGGACAGGGTCAAAGGCAACATTGTTTGGTGGAACAATCAGCTCAAGGAACTGGGAGTGGATCAGGCCGCCCTAATCGGCGAGCCCGACCCGCTCACTTATGGGTTGAGTCTCATCTTCACGACATTTATTGAACGTCTGAAGGAATGGTTCCACAAGGAGATTGCCAGTGACAACGATCGGATTCGGTGGATCAAGAACGACATGCTTCCACCGAGGCTTGAGCTCAGGGACTACTTTCACGCATTCGAGACTGAGCTCAACCGAAGCGAGATGATCGGATATGTCATGGCAACTCTCCACATGTTGCACATGACGGACATTTTGATCCCTCAGTACAACCTGTCTTTGTACAAGCGCAGGCGCCCTGCAGGTGAAGCCACGATGCGTGATGTGCCGCCAAAGATGGAGCACCTTCCAGTCAGGTTTGTGCAGGTCCTCAACTCTCTCAGGGAGAAGGTGAACAAGCCTGCACCGAGCGTCTCGACCCCAGAAAGCTTGACAGCAGAGGAGTTGAGGGCTCGCCCGACTGATGCTGGTGTCGCCGAAGATGATGATGAAGAAGGCGACCCATGGGATGCTCTGGATCCCGATGAGCATGAGGGCCCATCTGTTGGCAAAGCCAAGGCAAGCCACGCAGCTCCACCTGACCCCAAGGCGAAAGCTCCAGCGACACAGGAGGAGGATTCCACTCAGGCCACCTTAGCTGGTGAGCCCCTGCGAGAAAACGAGGTCAAGGGTACCGTTGTGCCAAAGCACACATTGGGACACCTTGACAAGTACCGTATCACTTATGAAGAAAACATCAACGCAGAAGTTGTGGAACACTGTGTCGTCGATTCCCATCCTTACGAATTGATTGTCAAGACCTGCTGGGAAATGGATGGGGCAGAGGCGTTGAAATTTCCTGACCGCATGGACCGGCACAAAACTAAGGTCAATGCGGTGACGCGTGGTCAGCCTGGTCAGGACACCTCTGGATTTGATGAAAACATGTGGCTTGACCTTGATGATTTCTTTCGAATGTTCAACCAGATGCTGCCAGCCAAGTTGCCCAGGATGACTGTTGAGGAGCTCATCTCATTGCTCTACTGGGACAGCAAGTGCCGTTTTGAGTTTCAGTGCATTGCCGGGTACCAGAAGGCAACCCGTAAAGGGTTAGCCTACTGGCCTATCAGGATCCGTGCAGTGCAGGGGCATACAAAACGTGCCATGGATGCCGCTTCAGCTGAGGACACGTTCAATGCAGTGGAAATCTACGCTCTGTCTGGTGCAGCAGCGATCCAGAAGATGAACGCCAAAGGTAAAAAGATTACCACTCCTCAGAATTGCCCTGGCGTAGTTTATCACAGGACTACAAAAGGCAATTGGAAGGGCATCATTGAGAACGGCTTCGTGGCTGGAGGAGGAGAACGAAATTCGTCAGGAAGAGCTCACTCCTATTTTAGCGACGTTCGTGTTGATGAGAAAGAGTATGTGAGCGGTTTGCGTGCTGAGCGACCCATTGAAATCAGGGTTGCAATGGCAGAAGCTGTCAAGGCTGGAATCGTGTTTTTCAGGACGGCTTCTGACGGCATTCTCACAAGCGATGTCGTCCCGCCACAATACATCATCTCTGTGGATGACACGGCAAAGAAGGTGAATCTTTATCGTCGCCAACAGGAGGTTGCGCAGTCTGCAGCAAGCAGTGGGGGAGAAGTTGGAGTCCAACAGCTTGTCGAGACCTTTGAGGCCAAGGCATCAAAAAGGACAGGTTCAACATCTCCGGCCGCCTCAACTGGCGCGCCCGCTGCAAAGACATTTTTCCCAGGAAAGGTGAAGCCTCCGCCACCAAATGTGGCCCAACTTGCCGGTATGCCTGGATATGCAAGCAGCAGACTGTTGCCCCCTCCTCCAAAGGGTGAAGCTCCGAAACCTCCTGCAGCAAAGGTTGAAGGACCGAAGACACCGCCAAAGGTTGAAGGACCGAAGACACCGCCAAAGGTTGAAGGACCAAAGACACCTCCAAAAACACCACCGAAGGAAGGGACTTCTGCACCTCATGCACCAGAAGTTCCAAAAGCTGTGACCTCAGAAGTTGATGCAGCGGCAAAGGACGAACCTGCAAAGAAGAAGGCCGCCCTAACAAGCGTGCCAACAGCTGTGCCTGCAGCATCATCAGCTGCAGCCTTCTTGGAGCCTGTCCCAAAAGTTGCACCACCAAAGGCTGTGCAGAAAGATCCAAAAGCTCCAGTTGCAGAGTCGCCCAAAAAGACGCTAGCAGCAACATCAAAGTCACTGGTGCCAAAGCAGAAGTCTCGCCCTAAAGGCGATGACCAACCTTCGAAGAAAGAGGTGAAGAAGGAGGACAAGAAGCCGGTGCCGGTCAAGATCGAAGTCACGCAATGCTCAAGATGTTTTGCACAGACTTTCAAGGGACAGATTGAGTGCGATGTGTGTGGTTTGATACTTGAAGGGATCAACAAGGCCGATCGAACCAAAATTGCAGAACGAAGAAAGGCCGCCCTTCACAAGCTGGGACTCTACTACGATTTCCGTGGGGAATACCTCCAGCAAATCACACATGGCCAACTTGAAAATTTGGGTTTGTTGGACGATCAGGCAAGAGGAAGCTCAAGTCCGGAAGCCGGCCTATTGGCAAGGGCCAAGAGTCGCTTCGACCGTGCCTTGAGTTTGGGCTATGTGTCTGTGGCTGACAGGTTTGCCCAGGACGCCACATTCGCAGAGAGCATGTTGAACGAGGGGGAGAACGAGTACGATTGTGAAAGGTACGACCTCCTCAAGTCCGCTCATTTGCCAAAGCCTGGTCGCACCAAAGCTCAGGTCAAGATGGGTATTTCTGAGCAATCCCAGCTGGAGCACAACGCAATGAGGCTGGTTTACTTGGATTTGGCCAGCCGCTATGATGTCCCAAAGTCTTTCAGGTACATCGACCAGCCATGGTTCTACATGTACCGAACCGAGATCTACTCCGAAGAAGAGTACATTGACTACCTCGGCAGGAATCCTGGACACAATCTTTTGTTGTCTTGCACTGGTGTTGACAACATTGCTGTTCATGATGCCGAACGTCATTTGAGGTGGATTAAGGGACAAAATGAAGAGCTGTACAAGCAGAATGCAGCAGAGAAGAAGAAACAGTCTGACAGGGCCCGCGAACAAAATGAGGCCAAGCGCAAAGCTGAGCAGACTGGTGCGTACGGCCAAGGTCCCTCCAAGAAAGGCACCGCCAAACCGGTTGCCCGAACATCCACAAGCGTAGAGGTAGCTTCATCATCAACGTCAGCAAGTCAGTGGCTCAATCGCCCTCAGCAAAGTCATTCCCAAGATGATCGACAGTTCACCAATGAGTGGCAGAAGTGGCATGGGCGCTGGTACCAAAAGGTTATCAGGCATGGCCGAGTCGAATGGGAAGAGGGATAAATTGTGACACTGCTTGCATTGACGATCGGTTTTTGTATAATAGCCGCTGTTTTGGGTTTCCTCAGGTCGTGCAAAGAGTTGGATCGGTAAGGCAGGCTTTAAAAGCTTCGCCCTGGTAAATGGGCAGCCTTGCCGTGTCCGGCTCACCTGAGGGGGGTGTATTTGCACTCCACCATAAACCCTATGTAAACTAGCATGCACTAAAGCTGATGCGGCTCGAGTAAAAAGAGTTTGGGCCGCAGGTGCTTAACGGTATTTTCTCCCCACTGTTGTTAGGTTTATCAGTCCATTTGGGATTAGTATCATCCCCTGCTGAAACCTGAAAATACAGGATCTAGGTGCTCTGTATGGTCACTTGACCAATCAACATGGCATGACCATCAATGATTGGTGCCCATCCAGGGACTCCCATCAGGGGGGAGATGGTTGCCGCCATTGTGGCGCCATTTTCGATAGCCGCTCAGGCTTGAGGCGTCACATCACTGAAGGTAGATGTGAATCCTTCAATCCGGCTGCAACTCCACATCCGATTGACACTACCGATCGCTGGGGACCATGGTTACAGACAGGGAATTTTGATTCGAGTCATTTCACTGCCAGCATGCGCCTTCAGCTGACCACCGTCTGTCAATTTTGTGGCCTGCAGTACTCTCGCACAGGCGATTTGGTGGCCCATCTCCTTCAATCGCATGGGGACTTATGGACGAGCTCCCAACCCTGGCTGAGGTTTCTTCTCCAAGCGGTCATGGCGAGACGTGGATGCCTGTGCAATCCCCAATGCAATGAGCTGGGAGTCACTCACGTTTGCACCTTGCTTCGACAGATAGCCATGATGATCCACAGCCAAGACACACAGATCTTTGTTCCTACTCAGTTCTACCGTCCAGACTTGGAAGTGGCTCTGACGTTTCTGCAAGATGATGCCCTGCAACAGAAACTGCTCTGCACTCTGCTTGAGCGTGACTTTGAACAGCTCTGGCAGGATGAGACGATCTTACAAGGACTTCGAACCCGATGCCTGATCTGTGGCGGCCATTATTCCACGGCGATCCTTCTGCATCATTTGTTGGTCCAGCATCCACAGGCATGTGCGTGGGCAGCTCAGTTCATTTTCCAATTGCAGCATCTTTTACAGGCTCTGCAGACGCATGATCATCGTTGCAGTTGTTGCCACCTGATTTTCAACACACCTGCAGAACATGATGCTGACATGACCCCTGACCGCTGCCAACTGCAGTTCCAACATTTTGCTGTCAATTGCCCGGTAGTGCTGCAGATTGCAGTGCTCTTGCATCCGCTGCATGGACGCACTGATGGACCCCAACGATCAGGCTTTGATGGACGGGCTTCAAGCTCTGGGACCGCTCCTTCTGGGGGCACGAAAACACTTGGATGGAAACGACGATCACCAGCCCAAGCGGCACAAAGCCGCCTCGCCCGCCGGCGCATCAACAGACCCAGCCCAGACGGAGGCGGTGGCCACCATGTTGCGTCTGATGGCACAGCTGGTCCTGAGCCACGAACGCTCCATCCAGCTGCAACTCCGCCAGGACTGCTTCGTTTTGTTCGCCCAAGACCGTCCGGAGGGCATCATCCCGCACCTGAAGACGTTGGCCCAGAGCTGGCGCGACCAGGCCCCGAAGCATCAGGACGATCTGAAGTGGCCCACACTGAGGACTCACTTGGTGGCCGGAGTGGTGGCAGAACTTCATCGTCGAGTTCAACAACTGGCAGCTTCGAAGAAGGGCGAACCGCTGTGGGACCTAGCCGTGGAGAAAGGCACTCTTCTCCCGGACGGGAGCTGGGGCTTCCAACGATGGTGCCACGACACGAAGCAGCTGAAGCGGGCCTCACGACCAGCACTCCCCATGCCACAGATGCTGAGGAATCTTCAGTCGTTGGAGGACCTACTTCAGTCGAACAGTCATGTCCAGAAGTTCCACAGCCTGAAGACGACCCAGACCACGGTTCCATGGCTCCTCCAACTGTCGCACAGAGACTCCGACGCTTGGTATCTCCTTCAGGAACTCTGCCAGAACACAGTGTGGTCCCTATTAGGGATGTCGGTCAAACAGCACAACATGGCCCTGTCGAAACCGGCTCAGATGCTTCAGGACACCTTGAACCATCTCCCCACCACGCAGACGAAAGGCCGCGGGAAGGGGAAGAGCTCACAGAAGGCCCTCCACCGGAGCTGAACTTTCAGGGACGGCAACGCCTGAGAAATCTTCTCTTAGAGCTCCAGCTGGACAACTCAGGCACTACTTGCTATGCCAACAGCGCATTCCTAGCATACATGTGGGCTTGTTTGTCAAGGTGACTGGGGCGCCCGTTCAGCCACCCTGGTGACCATTCTTACTGAAAATGATGGAACACCATTTCCCCTTGATGCTCAGGAATGGTTTGGACCCCTATTACAGGGATGGAATGATCAACAGGGCCAGGCTGACTGTGCAGAGTTTGGACATAGGCTAGCTGCATGGCTTGCCCTCGATGCCTTGTCCAACAGCTGGGAAAGACGCGTCATCACTCCTGAAGCCACCATGGTACATGACCACGGGGACAACACCATGCCATTGACGTTGCAATTAGACCCTGCTTTAATTGCTGACGGAGAGATCTCCCTGACTGCTCTTCTCAGGTCTTGGAGCGCAGAGCTGGGTATGTGTGCTGGCCTCACCAACCCCCAGGACCTTCTGGTCATCCATGTCGAACGCATGGTTCTGACTCCAACAGGTCAGTTGTACAAGCATGATGCCAATATCACTTTTGCTTGGGAGGTTCAGGTACCAACATTGACGCATGACACCGCCATTCAACATGTTTCCTATACGATCGTGGCAGTCACGGCACACCTGGGCAGTGACAAAAGTGGACACTATCAGGCAATGCTGCGCACTTATCCAGAGGTGTCAGACATCACTGCCCCATCAATGTGGATGTTTTGCGATGATTGTCGTCTGCCTGAAAGATGTTGGGTGTTCCCACCAGCGTTTTCACGGGGCATCACAGGCATCTGGCTTTGCCGCACTGACCGCTTAGAGATGCACCTCATGGAACAGCCTCGGACATCGCCGGACACTGATTTGCTGACCGTTCTCAGTGGTCAAACGCGCCTGGCAGGTGACTGATTCACCACACGTATCATGCGTACATGGAAGCTGATGTGCTTTAGGCCTACGGCTGATGGTATGTGACACCCCCTGCACCCTGCTACCCGGCAGGCTTATCCCCGCTTTCATGCCCTCCCTGCCTGGGAGTGTCCCCCTGCACCCCAAACAAAAAAAAAAAGGGGGCCAAGAGGCGGAAAGCCCACTAAACACGAAGCCAAAAAAAAAAATTAGGTCAGCTGTTTCACCATGAGTCCAACGTGGCAACTCCCTGCGTGGGTAGCCCAGCGACTATTGGCCAGAGAATCATGCAGCTAAGGCATTGCCTTGCTGACTTCCGGCATTTTGCTAAGACCTAGTCGGTGCACTTCAACTGAGATTCGCCATTTTGGCATGTACACCCGTTTCACACGGCATTTTGCCGCGGCCTAGCAGGCGACTCACTCCAGCCGTTTTGGCGCACCTCACGAAGTATGATCCTTCATGGATTCATCACAGCCTAGCCGGCGAAAAAAAAAAACCAAGGCCAACTCAGATCTATGAATTTCTCGTTTGAGATCCCTGTTTCCGCTCATCCATGTTTGTCCAGTCTGTTGTCGTGCCCCACGCCTATGCTTGTCACCCCTGCACCCTGCCGCCCGGCAGGCTTATCCCCTCTTTCACGCCCTCCCATCCAGGGAGTGTACCCCCAGTTACAAAAAAAAAGAACGGGCCAGGAGGCGGAACGCCCAACAAACACGAAGCCCCCCCAAAAAAAAAACCATCCGCATAGCTCAGGTTTCACAGTTTTTGAGGGTGAGATTTTAGTAGCCCTATTGCATGTTTTATTTTTCTGGCAATGACCCATGCTTGACAACAGATCAAGCTTTTCTCCAAATTTGGCAGGCACACCTTGCCCGACGGGTTTCTTTACCCGCGCCATCACGTAGATGAAGACACAGGTTTCCGGAATTTTTGCAATCATTCTGGATTCGCTGGTGATGGACATAGCTTCTCAAAGTGAGAACCATCCGACCAAGGTTGTTGGATGAAGAGGCGACCGCCGTTTCGAACACGAAAAGGAGCGAGGAAAAAAAAAAACACACACACGCACCAACACCACACAACACAAACACACCACACAACACACCAACACCACACAACACAAACACACCACACAACACACACACACACCACAAAACACACACACACACCACACAACACACCAACACCACACAACACAAACACACCACACAACACACACACACACCACAAAACACACACACACACACCACAAAACACACACACAAACACCACAAAACACACACACAACACAAAACACACACACAACACAAAACACACACACACACCACACACACAAAACACACACACACCACACACACAAAACACACACACACACCACACACACACACACAAAACACACACACAACACACACAACCCACACACAAAACACACACACAACACACACACAAAACACACACACACACAACACACACACACAAAACACACACACAACACACACAAAAAAACACAAAACAACACACACACACAACACACACACAACACACACACAACACACACACACAACACACACACACACAACACACACATAACACACACACACAACACACACACAACACACACACACAACACACACACAACACACCACACACAACACAACACACACACACACAACCACAACACACACAAAACAACACACACACACACACACACACACACACACACACACACACACACACACACACACACACAACACACACACACACACACACACACACACACACACACACAACACACACACACACACACACACACACACACACACACACACACACAACACACACACAACACACCACACACACACACACACACACACAACACACACAACACACACAACACACACAACACACACACACACACACACACACACACACACACACACACACACACACACACACACCACACACCACACACACACACACAACACACAACACACAACACACACAACACACACCACACACACACACACACACCACACACCACACACCACACACACACACCACACACACACACACACACCACACACACACAACACACCACACACCACACACAACACACACACACACACACACAACACACAACACACAACACACAACACACACACAACACACACACACAACACAACACACACCACACACACAACCACTCACAAACACACACAACAACACACCACAACACACCACAACACACACACAACACACACAACACACACCAACACACACACACAACACACACACACAACACACCACAACACACAACACACAACACACAACAACACACAACAACACACAACAACACACAACAACACACAACAACACACAACAACACACAACAACACACAACAACACACACCACCACACAACAACACACAACAACACACAACAACACACAACAACACACAACAACACACAACAACACACAACAACACACAACAACACACAACAACACACACCACACACCACACAACACAACACACAACACAACACAATACACAACACAACACAACACACACAACACAACACAACACACACAACACAACACACACACAACACAACACACACAACACAACACACACACACAACACAACACACACACAACCACATCACCACTTTCTCATAAACATCTTTTCTAATTACTTCTTTTATTCATCTTAACTTTCATAAACAGATTCCATTAAACTGAAACATGGATAAAAATTGTATGACCAATTGCACTTCAAGTTCGAGTAATGCTGTCTACTACGTCCTTGCTCAAAGGAAGGTTCTGATGCAGCTGAACCAATCATAATTGGTCGAAAGTAATTCCAGATTGCGACAGCCGTGCAGAAAAAATTGACATGTTCAAATGGACGACATGGAGGTTCTTGGGTTGAGCCTCTTCCCATCACAGAAAATCGCAGGTACGCCAGACTGATCAGGTCTGGTATCACCACCAATTGCAAGTGTCTTCGTTGGCAGTAGACTTGCAATGGTGCTACTGCCCCCTGCTAGATAAAATTGAAATTGGAAGATAAATCATGAAGAGTCAATGAATCAAATAAGCAGAGCAACGAAATCAACGGATAGAAGTTTTTCATCTTTTCAGATGTTCCACACACACGCCTCGCTGCCGCGAGGCTGATTTTTGCAACTGCGGAGTCGGTACGGAAGCTCTTATCTGGACCCTGAAGCAGGAATCGCGATTATCGCAAAATCAAAATACAGGGAAGAAATCTGCAGTTGAATTATCCGAGTTGCTCAGAACACCTTGTTGCTCGATGATGTCAAACTCAATCACTGATGTCGGAGAGCGCTTCCATCTGCGCCGCTTGCTGCGACAATTGTTGAGTCGTCTGAGCCAAATGGCTAGCAAGGTGAGCCAAGTCTGCTGCCGAGAAGATCTGGATGGGGTCCGTGCTTGGGTTCTCCAATTTCTCGAGAATGGCCAAGTTGGCCCCTCTGTCATGTTGGAGGATGTTCCAAAGAACGGTGGCCAGCTGGTGGATCTGACTCGGTGCCGAAGCGGATTCGGCGTGGACCACCAGAGAGTCCGTCTCATCCATATTTGATCCTGACATGTCATCTTGGCTGTCTTCAGCTTGGTTCCCGCTGTTAGACTCTTGCGGGTGGTCTTGCCAGATTTCCGCTTGGTGCACTTCAGGAATTATTTGGAAATGACGACGCCAGTAATTGGCAAGTTGGGTAGCTTGTTCCCAAGAGTCTATCCATCCGCTTTGATCAGCACGGATGTGGCCAACGATCCCGTTGAAGAAGAACTCCGGTTGCCTATTGCGATGATTTCCAAGTCGGTCCACTTCCGTTACCATGAGGCGACGGAGAGCTGGCTGGGAGTGATCAGAACTGGGTACTCTAACCTCTGTAAAATAATGTGCATGGAGTTGGCGTCGTTGTTCTGCCATCTCTCTCTGGAGTGGAAATGCTTCGTCTTGTCTTGGGGCGATCGGAATCTGATGATCACCGGAAGCAGGAAGGGGGACTGCTGGAGCTTCGGTAGAGTACCCAGGCTGAGAAGAATGGGTACTAACATCTTCATGACGAGAAGGGTGCCAAGCAGTGGGTTCAGTGAAATCAGTAGCACTGCGATAGGGATGACCAGATTCAGATGGAGCGGCGCTGCTGCTGGGGTAACCCCGAGAGCGAGAGTGACGACGCGGCATGCTCATAGGGATGGGAGGACAAGTGAAACCAGCAAGGAGGGAATCACGTTTGGGCATGATGTAGCTGGAGCCAAGAACTAAAAGAAACAAAAAGAAGAAGTTTAAACCTTAAGGAACAAGACGACTCTGCAAGCAAAACGGCTTGAGACGTCAGCGCAAGGTGACTTTTTGCCCGGGCTCAAGGAAGCATGTTTCGGTTGGGCAAAGCTTCATGACAACTCATTCGCATGATGTAGGGCTGAATGTCAGAAGTGAATTCTTGAATGTCATTCGGCAAGATCTCACTATGTTCTTGGCCCTCGGTCCAGTGAGGACGATATTCATGGAGGTATGCAACCAGTCGGTCCTCATTGCGGAGAGCAAAGGTGTCTCCAGTATCGTCTTGCCATCGGATGTCCATGGATGACGGGGGCAGGTATCGATCCCAGGTGTACCAGATATGTTGACTGATGCAGTACAACAGGTTGTACACCGTGAAGGTATCCAAGCGATGAGTGTTGAGCAAGACATTGTAGGTAAACAGCGC